AAAAAAAAAATATAACAAATTTATATCCCCTCCACCGCGATACCGGCGCCGACAATCACAGTCGCATGTCTGCGCGACAGCTGCCGTTGTCGTAGTGATTTCTTTTTTCGTTTTTTACGTTTTCTCGGTGTAATTTTTCTCTCGGTACGCATAATACGAATACATCGCGTACATGTCTACGCGCGTTTTCCGTCGAAACCGATAATGCGAAATGCGAAACGCGGTCGGCGACGGGAAAACACTCGGACGTGTTTAAACAACACGGTCCTGTTGCAGAATACCACGGCACTACCGGACTACTGAACAAGAGCGTGCAGGGCGACGGTTACCAAAAGCTCTTTTACGTAAGAGTGAAACGGCGGAACGGGCAATTCTTCACGCGCGCGGAGATAACGGGATGTGCAAATCAATGCAACGACGACTGGGGAAAATGGACCGATGGGGATCTATATAGCCCGCCCCGCAGAGACGCGGTCCAACAGGGAAACGAACCCGGGAGATGCGCGAGAGAGGGGCGCGATAGGATTCCAGAGAGTGCGAATAGGGGAAGGCGGCGTGTAAATAATGACTGTGTTATAGTCGGCGGAGCTCTGTGCGGAAACCGAAATGGAGAATACGGGGAGAACAAGAAGAAGATACTGTTACTGTTATTAATATTGTCGTCGTATTTTTTTTTTTTATTTTTTTTTTCATTGTTATTATTCCGGCGAATCTACACCGCGATCGCGGTAACCGGTAACGCGGTGGTCTGGTGCGCGGAGACGGTTTACGGGCCTTTTTCGCGAGCGCGCGTCACGGACGGCAAAACGTTTCGAAAACCCGTATACGAAACGATGCGAATTCGTTCCGCGGCGGAATAATAATAGAAAAAAAAAAAATAATAAAAAAAATACGCCCCGGATCTATAAGAACCGACTGGTCCGCAAAACAATTACGTACGATATTATTATATCGTTCGTTCGTTTTCCCCCGATAACAATTAGACTATGAACGTTGCGTTTATTTTTTCTCGATTTTTTTTTTTCCGCGCAATCAAATGTTCTCATTCCCCGGCCCTCCGCCCGCGGTACAATATTCGGCAATAATAATAATAATAATAACAACGAGAACGACGATAACGATAACGACGATATTGTATTGCTCAACGCCGCCGCATAGGAAAGCAAAACAAAAACAAAAAAATAGTCTAATAACAATAAAATAATAAAAAAAGACTAACAATAATAATACAATAATCACGTCCTTGAAATTATCGCTTTTAATTTTCAATCATACAGCGCGCGTGTCGTTTTCGTATTGGTATACGTATGTAGAATATGTGTATGGTGCGGAGTAATAATTTTTTCGCGAAAAAACAACAGCGTACTCGTAACTACGACGGAATAGAGAGAAAAAAAAAAATTAAACGTACATTATTACGACGGATTATTGCGGTTCAAATGTTGTTTCAACATTGCAATGCACTTCGAGAACGAGGGGGGAAACGTCGACGGCGGCGGCTGCGGCGAGATTATCATTTCGGCGCTGGAATGCGCTAGAAACCTGAAAAAAAAAGTCGAACCGAAGTGACGAATGGTCTAATGGTAAAACGGAATTGTTCGTTTTTCCTTTTCCCGGCCGGAAATTCGATAAAACGATTTCGAATTTCGGCCGATGCGGGTCCGTAACACGATGACGCAGGGGGAGGCGGGTCTGAAAATCGATTTGACGCGACGACGAATCGAGCGCAGATCGTGCGGTGGCTGTGGGTATAGTGGGTGTAGCGGCCAAAAGGTGGCGGACGCGTCCGTCGCCGCTCGAGGACCGCGAGTGATCCACGGCCCGCGGATCACCGGATTTCGGCGTTACTGTTTTGTGGCAACCGTGCGCGTAACCACTCGGGTACCGTGTCGAAAATGACATCGTAAGGCTGTTGGGGTGATCGGCGTTTTGTTGTCGTGCCCGCGGTCCGGCCCGGCTACGGCGGTTTAAAAACAAAAGATTAATTCCGAAGAAAAATCTCCGAAATCTCGTCGCCCGCGGCCCCGTAACGCGCCGACCGGGTAAATGCGCAACACGATTAAAAGTCGCGTTAAAAATGGATAGGCGCGTTTGCGGCGTTATCGCCTTATCGCCTCGTATACCGTGGAAATCGTCATCTTATCTTTACCACAATAATGCGGCGTAAATTATTAGAAATACCGGGGATCGGGGCACGGAATTTCGTCCCGCGCAGACGCTACGCGCGCGCACCGACACGGGCTGTCCGCGCCGGCGACTGCGTTGCTGTTGATACCCGTAGACGTGCCGCGGGGTCTCGAGCGAACTCGTGGAGGGGGTGGGGGGGGGTGCGCGCCTTTCGTCCCGTCAACGTCCCTCGGGAAACGGCTCCTCCGGCGGGCGGGGGGGGGAGGGAACCGAACGGGTTTGGCGATATTCGCCGGTCGTCCGCGACAACCGAAACCGATATTACCGATTGATTAATCGATTATTTTAGCGCGCAACTCTATCATCAGTCGCCGATACAATACGTCCGTTCGTATTAACAGCGAATTTAACGGACGGGCACCAATGACGTTAACGACAATCACGCGGAATACGTCGTGACCAATAACAAAAACAACGTTAATTAATGATAACAATGAACCGGACCGGTTCGTCCGTGTCGCGGATTCCCGGTAAACTGTTATCGTGTTTCGTATCGGTCACGAACTCCCGGACACGGTTGTCTCGATAACGATTTTCGCTAGTTGATGCGTTAGGGAGGCGTCGTGTTTTTTTTTTTGATTTTCCAACGGGTTTTCGTAATAATTGGGAAAACCCGAAAGAGAACTGTAGGCGAAACGGCGAATGTTCACGGCGCGGCCGAGGCGTTACCGTTCGCGTTGTTTTCATCGTGTTACACTCGAGTTTTCCACCGGAAATATTACTCCCGTTGAAAATGACAAGGTGCCGATCACGTACTCATTAATGTTTCGCCGCTGACAGAATAAGTCGATTCTCGACATCAAAAGTAGCTATTGTAATAACTAGGAGAAACCGGAAAAAAAAAAAAAAAATTGTAAACTGATTGATATTTACGGCGGCGTAGCATCCCGGTTTAATCGTTCTGTTGTTACGTCCGACCTAGGTATTTTTATCAGAAATATCGCTCCGACAGAAAAACACCGAGGGATGTTTTTCGTTGAATTTCCTCTATCGAGCAAAATTGTAGAAAAACGTAAAAAAATAACGGGAAATCTATGGTTAACGACAAAACAAATAAAGCGATTTTTATAAGACACGTTAAGTCCTCAGTTTTAATTGCCATTTGAATCTAACCTAACCTATATACCGAATAATTATGGGGTCATGATAATTATAATAATTATAATAACTATAAATTAAAATTAAAATTAGTGTACGATAATCGTATGATTTGTTTTTAATGAATGTTTAACTAAAATTGCATGTAACAACTTATTATTCAGCCCCTCCGTCACCTTTTGATTGCTTACGCCTACGGCCATGAGCAGATAATAATTAAATCAAAATGTCTAAAGTGACAAATATTTTAATGAAATTAATAATCAGCGGCGACCGGTCTTCGTTCTGGTCGGCGGCGAACAAAACAAAATCATTCGTCATTATTTTCGGTTTTACTAAAATTTTGTTCCGCCCCCGCCGCCGTCGGTTGATTATATTATTATAGCGCTGCAAGTGTTCTAGAATGCAAGCAAATGGACAACGGATGAGACGGCGTGAACTGCCAAGTATCGGCGAGTTAGAATTTAATTTATATTTTTTTTTCTGAAAATTTGATAATAAATTATCAATCTTTACGACGAAAAAAAAAAAAAAAATTAAGTAAAAAGCGTGTTCAGAAATTTAATTTTCAAAGTCCGAGTAATATACAGGAGAGTTAACGCGCGGACTCGTCAATAGTAAAATTTAAGGAATTTCACTATAATGAATACAATTTTGAAAATCCTGTTATTTTCCAATTGGGTTTTCGTTGAACACAGAATTATAGTTTTATTTAATACCGTTTATACCGCGGTAAGTATTCATCGAGAAATTTGAATATTATACAATTTTACATCATTACGACGTGAGAAACTTGACGGTATTTTTGAACCGTCACGATTTACGGAGTCGTAATAACCCTCCGGATTTATAGTGTACATATGGTTTCTATTTCCCCCCCGTTATACACGGGGTTCTGAAAATCGACTCGATAATATTACATAGACATAATAACAGTACCTATCCCGTTTTCCAAAGTCAAACACCGTAATGCGTTCGGGTGCGTGTACATCTAAAAATATCTCGCTCGTCGGCTTTTCAAGAACGATTAATATTTTAGAGTCTGCGGTGGAAATGATCGTAAACACTTCTCGGACATATGTGCGGCTTATTCAGGAAAAAAAAAAAAAGTCTGGCCGTGCTCCGTGCAGTTATCGTATAAAGTGACGTGTAGTTATACTCGGACCAAAAATAAACGCGGTGCGCGTTCGGTGTTTACAATATTATTAAAATGTTATACGACTTCGGAAAACACGACGGTTCGAGTACGAACTCAAAGTACGGAGAGAGCATTACGACGATCGTCGTAGAAACGGACGGAAGACGATTGAGCTATTCATTTTCCGGGAGGGGAGATGGTAGAAAATATACCACCTCTAACGAATTCGGTGAAAATGTCACCGGTCTTTATGTGATGAACTTTTACTAAATATTAATTTAATAAAAAAAAAAAACACACGCGAACTGCAGATCTCCCTCACTAGAACACTGCCTCAGGCTATTTTATGTGAAACAATAAATAACCGTACACTGTAGCATTAATATCATAGTAGTTTATTATTTCTAAAAAATAAAACGCGAAGGCGAGACGTTGAAACTTTAAACCCTACAAAGGATCATACTTGAAACTAACGCAGTGCACATAAAAAAATGGCACGCCTCTAGCTTTTCGTGGACGGTCTGTATTGCTCTCTCCAACAGAAATACACTGAAATCCATATCCATTGAATTTTAACCTAACTCTTATAATTTCCATCCTCCTGTAATTCAATTGAAAAACCTGTGCTCATTTGGCTTAAACCTCTGTGTAAGTGACTGAATGCAGCGGGAAAAAGACAAATACCAGACATCCGACACACTATAGTTACTGCAACAGTTTCTATTTTCGGGAAACGTTCGACTAAAACAAAATCGACTTTGACAACGACCGGCGGCGGTGTTGCGTTAGTATTGCCGTGTTTTTCTCCCATTATATATCAGGGAAAAATACAAGGAATTTCAAAAAAAAAAAAAACAACAAACCGTCTTAACGCAACGATCGATCGACTAGATCCGAAACGCTACAAGAATTGTAACTCGTACGAGGGTCCTCTAATTATTAGGTACACGGAGTTTTTTCCTTTTCTTTTAATTTCCTTTCGTTTTTCTTCGCGTATAAAAGCAACGGCGACGTCGCCAACACACTTCCGAGTCATTGCTTACCTCCATGCTGTACGCATCTGTCCGACCGTCGCCGTAATATAACTGCAACAGGTCGCACGAATTCATAAATACGTTTAGAAAGGTCGGCTACATTATTGCTGCGCTTCACCTCGGTCCCGGTTTTCGGACCGGCTAATATTCGGAACGGATTCATTGTCGTGCGCGTCCGTCCCGACAGAGATAAAAAAAACCAAACCGAAAACGCCGTTAGCGTCTCCGTGGCTTTTTGCCGACAAAAAACACATAAAATACAACGTCCTTTAAAGTATACATCGCGTACGCGATAAACCGCCGATACGCGCATAATTTTACATTTCTGACGCGTATTATTATTATTCTTATCAAAACGAACACAATAAACAGACATTTTATTGCGGCCGTTGCGGACTGTGTGCGCGCGCTCTCTCGGCGTCCGGCGTCCATAAAATACCCGTACGGTCCGCCGGTACACGCGCGTAGAACATATACGTTTTTTTTTTTTTTTTTTTTTTTTTTTTTTTCTATACGGGTCGCACACGATGATAATGCGACCGCTCGTGTACGTATGCTGTACACATTTTTTCCGAGGTACCTCGGGTGGAAATCACTTTCAGGGCGAATTCAAACGGCTTACACGCACACGTTGGCGGGACAAAGCGTTATCATTTTTACAGTTAAACCCGACGGCGCGGCTTTTGTATCGTTATGTACGCGCGCGCGATACTGTACGGTGGTACGCGTTTAATGCCGCGCGGAGATAATATACGTAACGTACGTTGTATTGTATAGCGTGTTATACACGAGCGCGCGGCCAAAGATCGACGGTTCAACGGCGGTTTTCGTCGGACGTTGCGAAATATCGCGGGGGAGACGGTTTATTTATTTTTTTTATTGTTATTTTTCCTACGTACGTGCTCGCGTACGGCCATCGTTGGGCGCGCGCGAATACCCAGCGGTAAATCGTTTTCGTTTCACGCCGCACAAGCGTACTAGCCGGCGGCGCGGCGATCGACGGTCGACGGACCCGGTCTGTTTACCGCGAATGCGCGTTGGCGTATCGTTCGCGTCGCGCGCCGCAGGGAACACACCGAATCGCCCGGACCGACGCGACGCGTAGGAAACGCGCGTTCCGGGCGCTGTACCGTCCGCTCGGTTTCGGCTTCGCGCCGCTATCGGGCGAACCGCGGACGGAACGTCGCTGGACGGTTCGCGCGCGGACGCCTCCGAAAACGAACGAACGAAACAAAACACGTAGACGGCGGATCGTCACCGCGGAAACTGCACCGTTGCTTCTCTGTTTGGCCGAGCTTCGCTGCGCACCCGGCCTCATAGCCGATTAACCGATCGCCGGCGTAACCACGCAATCGCCGATTCGGTTCGGTTCGGATAAACCGTTGTTTTTTTTTTAATTTTTTTTTTTCTACGTTTGTTTTCGCAACGCGCGGCGATCCCGAAACCGTCGTTTTTCGGTTGGCCGTGACCGCGGAGAGGAGATCGCGTCGCCCGAAACTAGTAGCTAATATTGTAATTGTTACATTACCGTTCCCGCAGCCGGCAAAAGCGGAATATTTTAAAATGTAAATTCAATGTGCGTACCGTCGTTAGGTACCGCGCACCTATTGTCGTCGCCCGTGAGCGATGAAATTCAAATATCCATTAATATGATATACACCGGAAACTCTTTTTTTTTTGATCACTTTTCCACTCTACTAACTATGATGTGCAATTTTCGATTTTCAAAGTAAAATGCATCGCGTTCAACTACTTATAATCTGCGATTAGTGCGCAGTGATTAAAATGTAATGAATGTTATGAGTAAATACGTATAAATTAAAAATCGATCTTTTTTTTTTTTTTTTTCCAAACTCTAGGTAAACGTGTTTTTGTCTAATATTATGACACAATTTCCGAATTCAATGGTTCTCCCCCTCCTCGATAAAATTCTAAATACGCCCGCGCTACTGCGATACAACAGTATTATTATTTACGGAACAGAAATAATTTCGTACTCATCGTACACCGGTCCACAATTCAATTCTTCTTCCGAGTTTTTGTACAATAATAATAAAAACATAACAATGAGATCCGCTATATAAGTATATGCTTAGATAGGTACGTACCTATTTTCCATTATTTTCCCTTCTCTGCGACCGCCGACCGTACCTGCTGAAATAAAATAAAGCGCAGAGCTGTTTGTTCGTATACCTTCGTAATTTTTAAGCATTTATATTATACGTATATTGTGTAACGTTTACTTCAATTCGGTCTTTTTCATTTTTTGGATCTCCCTCCCTCCGAACGCATACACATATTTATGGTTTCATATAAAACGTGTACGATCAATCACGCCGCCACACTATATATATATATATATACTCGAATATTTCTTTTTAGACGGTACACAATATATTTACAAAACGTTCATTTGTAAATTTCTCGACTGTATAATATTCTGTACACGGTGACTCGCGAGACTGATCCGTTTATTTTCACATATGGCTCGCCTGTGAAATGTTAAGACTAGTATAATATACTATACGTTTATTATACAGATACTGAGATACTAAACATACTTTATAATTACACTAGCTGTTGCAGACGAATACTTTGAAATGTTTACATTTTACAAACTAATTCAAATTTTGATTTGACATAATGCAATTATACATAGGCCAATAATCTTAAATTTAAAATGTTAATCACAAACTATACTAGTCACACCGTGCGTTTCGTGACCTAAACAGTTCGTCATAATTCTATATAAAAAAAAAATTCATCTGACTCGATTCTTCAAATCGTCTTCGCGTACACCTACCGTACCATATCACTCTCAATCGTCTCCAATCGCCTCTTCCTCTAATCCTTCCTGTGTTTATTTTCATTACAGTGTAGCATTTGGTTCTTCTCCGTCCGTGACACGGCTCAACAATTTCAGTCTATTTTCTGCCATATTGTTTACTGCCGAAGCCACGCCTATGCTGCTATATGTTTTCGTTTCTTATTCTATCTTTTCTTGTCACTCCATTTATCCATCCACAAATTGTCATCTCTGTTACACTCATTCTCTGTTTTATTTTTCCGTGTACCGCCAAACACTCCGTACCATACAACATAACGGGTCTTAACTGCACGCCCTTGTAAAACTTACCTTTAAGTCTCATTGGAATTCTCTCGTCGCGTTAAACACCTGACACTCTATCCGTCAACCACGCTATATAACACATCACACATTATTACTAGGGTTTTCTTTTTTATTATTCAATAATATTGTTGTTACATTTTTATCATACAGCGATTTTTTCGTATTATCAATTATTTTCATACTGTCATCATTTTCTTGACCGGCACGAGCATACGAATACGGTACCTATTGTGTAAAGCCTTTTGTTTCCGCGATACGGGTAATAAGTAAATCATGCATCGATGGCTTTTTGAAATATTGTAATGTATGACTCGCGGAATTATCAAGTGTAGGCATATTTCAAACACGTGCAGATATAAATAGTGTACTATTTAATTAATTATTAACATTTCTCGCGGGCATTCGTGACAGGCGATTTTTCATTTTGAAGGTTCGCCTATTAAACGGATAAAACGCTGCGGCAAAGCTAATTTTTCGTACGATGCATTACATGTAAATATGATAATATACAATCGAGTTTTAATATGTATATATTATCATTTATGTAGTATTGTTGCGAATAAATTTCATGGCGCGCAAATTAAGTTATAAAATAAGAATTATAAACAAGTGAAACGGTACCACGTATAATAAATAATAAAAATAATAAAATAATGGGCACTTTGTGCTTTACGTTTAGTTCGGGCAGGTAAAACGCTAAGTATAATAATAATTACTCGTGTTCTCTTTTGTTTACCATACATTTATGCGTTTTTTACGCTTTTAAATAAATGTAGATTATCATAATAATTTTAAAATAGATTTTACAACGTTCGAGTTTTTAGACCCGTTCAGACTGCACTGTAAAAAAACAAAATAATTGCTAATAATAATAATAATAATAATAATAAAAAAAAAAAAAACGTCCGGTTAAAAAGCGAATACCATTTTTATTACACGTATTGTCGAAACAAATATTATTACTGTACACTTTCGTCTATTATGTTTTATTTTTTTCAACGCGGGCGGGACCATCAAACTATCAGTCTGTGAAACCCGGAAGATTTGATATGAGCCGGACCATTAAAATGCCGTCACAGTGGAATTCGCCAGAACGGGTGGGTATCATTAATGCAGTAAAAATGTGTTCGCGTAAAACAAAACAGAACGGCCTTTAAAATCGGTTTTAGTGGTAAAAAAAAAAAAATAATAATAATAATAATAAATAAAAAAAACTGTCTTATTAAGAAAAATTTGTAGGTGACGGCGTTTAGAAGACAACGCCGTCAGCGTTTTTTTTTTATTATTATTGAAACATTATTATTATTTAAAAATTACACGTATCTAAAGAAAAAAAAAAGAAAATGTAAAATACGATTTTTTTTTGTACCGATAACGAGTTGAATAATAGATAATAAATTATTGTAAAACGCCGACGAAATCGTTTTATAATAATATACTTACACAGTCATCTGCATATTGTTTCTATAAAACCGATTTTGAAGACATTTTCGTTGGTTTTGCGTGAATACTGTTTTGCTGTAACATTGTCCACCAAGAAAGTCAGAGACGACAAAGTGACGACGTTTCACTATAATATAGTAGTGATAAAATTGTCGTTCCAAGGAACGGCGCTTGGTTCCTAACACGGGAAAATGTAATTTTAAA